AAGGAATGTTTCATACACATAGGAAATAACCACATTCTATAAAGGATCTAAATACATAAAACCATCACGTTTATTAGCAAATCTTTATCTCCTTGAATGTGTCAGCAGCTTAAGAAATAATGAAGGCCGAAGGCCGGGCGCAGTGGCTCATACCTGTAATCCCAGCACTTTTTGAGTCCGAGGTGGGTGGATCACGAGGTCAGGAGATTGAGACCATCCTGGCTAACACGGTGAAACCCCGTCTCTACTAAAAATACAAAAAAATTAGCCAGGCATGGTGGCGGGCACCTGTAGTCCTAGCTACTCGGGAGGCTGAGGCGGGAGAATTACTTGAACCCAGGAGGCAGAGGTTGCAGTGAGCCGAGATCGCGCCACTGCACTCCAGCTTGGGCGACAGAGTGAGACTCTGTCTCCAAAAAAAAAAAAAAAAGAAAAAAAAGAAATAATGAGGGCCGGGCACAGTGGCTCACACCTGTAATCTGAGCACTTTGGTAGGCTGAGGCGGGCGGATCTCTTGAGGTCAGGAGTTTCAGACCAGCCTGGCCAACATGGTGAAACCCTGTCTTTCCTAAAAATACAAAAATTAGGACATGGTCGTGCGTGCCTGTAATCCCAGCTACTCGGGAGGCAGGGGGATGAGAATCACTTGAACCTGGAGGCAGAGGTTGCAGTGAGCTGAGATTGTGCCACTGCACTCCAGACTGGGGGACAGAGTCAGATTCCATTTAAAAAAAAAAAAAAAAGAAATAAAACAAACAAACAAAAAAGAAGTAATGAATAGGCCTGGCATGGTGGCTCATGCCTGTAATCCCAGCTGTTTGGGAGGTTGAGGTAGGTGGATCACTTGAGCCCAGGAGTTCCAGATCAGCCTGGGCAACATAATAAGACCCTGTCTCTACCAAAAATACAAAAATTAGCCAGATGTGGTGGCGTGCACCTGTGGTCCCAGCTATTTGGGAGGTTGAGGCAGGAGGATCGCTTGAGTCCAGGAGGCAGAGGTTGCAGTGAGCCGAGATGGAGCCACTGCATTCCAGCCTGGATGATAGTGAGACCCTGTCTCAAAAAAAAAAAAAAAGAAAGAAAGAATAAAAAAAAAAAAGTCAAGGAAATGTTATCCACTTTTAGTTAGCAAGGTGTTTACTCATCAGGAAATGTAAAACTTCTACTTTAAAAAAGAACTATTGGCTGGGCGTGGTGGCTCAGGCCTGTAATCTCAGCACTTCGGGAAGCTGAGGCAGAAGGATTGCCTGAGCTCAGGAGACCAGCCTGGGCAACATGGTGAAACCCCATCTCTACTAAAAATGTAAAAAATTTAAGCTGGGCGTGGTGGCTCATGCCTGATCCCAGAACTTTGGGAGTCTGAAGTGGGACAATCACTTGAGGTCAGGAGTTTGAGACCAGCCTGGGCAACATGGTGAAACCCCATCTCTACTAAAAATACAAAAATTAGCTGGGCATGGCGGCACACTCCTGTAATCCCAGCCACTTGGGAGGCTGAGGCATGAGAATCACTTGAACCAGGTAGGCAGAGTATAGTGAGCCAAGATCACGCCACTGCACTCTCCAGCCTGGATGACAGAGCAAGACAAGACTCTATCCCCCCAAAAACCAAAAACCCCAGAAAAACCCACAAATAAAAATACAAAAAATTAGCCAGGCATGGTGGCAGGCGCCTGTAGTCCCAGCTACTTGGGAGGCTGAGGCATGAGAATTGCTTGACCTTGGAAGGCAGAAAGCAGAGAATTGCAGTGAGCTGAGATCGTACCACTGCACTCCAGTCTGGGTGACAAAACGAGATTCTATCTCCAAAAAAAAAAAAAAAGGAAAAATATTTGATTCTTTTACTTTCTAAAAAGGATTTACATACTTTCCTCCCACTCCAGATGGGGATTTCATCTTCGATTTGTAGCTGCTTTTTTCTACTTGGCAATGTCGTGATCATCTATCTTTTCATGTCAATAAACAGTATACATGATCATTCTTTTTTTTGTTTTTGAGACAGTCTTGCTCTGTTGCCCAGACTGGAGTGCAGTGCCATCATGGCTCACTGCAGCCTCCTGGGCTCAAGCAATACTCCTGCCTCAGTCTTCCAAGTAGCTGGGACCACAGGCACGCACCACCATGTCCAGTTGATTTTTACTTTTTTTTTGTAGAGATGGGGGTCTCACTATGTTGCCTAGGCTGGTCTCAAACTCCTGAACTCAAGCAATCTTCCCACTTCAGCCTCCCAAAGTGCTAGGAATACAGGTATGAGCCACTGTGCCTGGCCTACCTGACGGTTTTTTTTTTTTTGTTTTTCTTCTTGATGGAGTTTTACTCTTGTTGCCCAGGCTGGAGTGCAGTGGCACGATCTTGGCTCACTGCAACCTCCACCTCCCGGGTTCAAGTGATTCTCCTGCCTCAGCCTCCTGAGTAGTTGGGATTACAGGCGCACGCCAACATGCCTGGCTAATTTTTGTATTTTTAGTAGAGACAGAGTTTCACCATGTTGGCCAGGCTGGTCTCAAACTCCTGACCTCGTGATCCGCTTGCCTTGGCCCCCCAAAGTGCTGGGATTACAGGTGTGAGCCACTGCGCCTGGCCTACATGATCATTCCTATTCCTAATAGGCACCTGGTATTCCATATTTACCATTTTAACCTTTTGGACATTCAGGTTATTTTAAAATATAAAGTTTATTATTACAGAAACTTTAATAAGCATCTTTGCATGTGGTTTTGTTTTGCGATAATTGTACATTCACGTAGTTTTAAGAAATGGATCAGGCCGGGTGTGGTGGCTCACACCTGTAATCCTAGCACTTTGGGAGGCTGAGGTGGGCGGATCATGAGGTCAGGAGTTTGAGACCAGCCTGGCCAACATGGTGAAACCCTGTCTCTACTAAAAATACAAAAATTAGCTGGGCATGGTGTCATGCACCTATAATGCCAGCTACTTGGGAGGCTGAGGCAGGAGAATCGTTTGAACCAGGGAGGCAGAAGTTGCAATGAGTCAAGATTACACCATTGCACTCCAGCCTGGGCAACAGAGCCAGACTCTGTCTCAAAAAAAGAAATGGATCAGAAGCAAGGACTCTTTCTGAAAGGAAAAAATAAAAGGATGGAAATCCATTGTATACTTTGCCCATTTCCCAATTTTGCAGTTATATAGTAACCAGAATATTTACATTGAAACCCACTGATTTTATTCAGATTTACTTGTACTCATATTTGTGTGTTTACATAGTTTTTTGCACGTCTGATTCTTCTGTCAAATGAAATTCCTTTTTTTTTTTTTTTTTTGAGATAGGGACTTGCTCTGTTGCCCAGGCTGGAGTGCAGTGGCAGAATCTCTGGTCACCGTAACCTCTGCCTCCCGGGCTCGAGCAATCTTCCCTCCTTGGCCTCCCAAACTGTTGGGATTACAGGTGTGAGCTACCACTCCTGGCCCAGATTTCTTTGAAAGGGCTAATTCCTCCATATCTTTGTCAACACTACTCTTGGGTTTAGTTTAGTTTATCTCTCTGTAACTCAAGATTACTTTTTTAATAGTTTTTAATAGTTTTTGACATTTAAATATTTCATCTATTTGAGCTTAATTTTGGTGTAAGGTGTGAAGAAAGAGATCTGATTTTTTTTTCTAAATGGATTAGCCAGTTGCCTCAATATATCTTACTGATACCATGAAGTAGTTGACTAGGTTATCAATATAGTTGTTAAAGGAAGGTATCATTAAAAAAAAAAGATACATGCATATTTACTGATCAAGTGTGGTGCAGATGAAGAACTTAGTACTCATGTATAAAATCTCAGGAAAGAGCCTTATTGGCCTTAATTAGGTCATAATGCCTATCTCTTGGACCTTTCACCATAGCCAGAGGCTGTAAGGTCTGTCAGAATATGATTGGAATGCTTCTGAAAGGGAAGTGAAGACTATATTTTAGAATAAGGAAAAGGGTGTAGTGTGTGTTTTAAAAGAGGCATTCTATGGGTTGCAATGTTTAGAACATTTTATTAAAGTACAAAATTGTTGGAATTTAGCTAATAGAAAAACATAGTAAATATTTACAAAAACACTGATAACATTACTCAAGTCACACACATGTAACAATGTAGACAGGTCTTAACAAAGTTTACAAATTGAAATTATGGAGATTTCCCAAAATAAATCTAATAGCTCATTGCTGAGCATGGTTATCAATATAACATTTAAGATCTTGGAGCAAATGTTGTCCCCAAGTCTTCTGCAATCCAGTGCCCCTTAAAACTGGTTTCTCTCTTTGGGAGATTCAGACTCAGAGGCAGCCAGAGGGGACAGGTCAAGAGCTGAAATAATCACCTAACTAGTCTAATTTTCTTCATTCTATTGACTGTGTCAAGTTATAGACACAGCCAAAGTGTTTTCCTTCAGCCTCTGATGATTTGAGAAGATGAAGAACGTGAGCAATTTCTCATTGCTTAAAGAAAAACTTAGCACATAAGAGGCTGAGTGTAGAGTATCTATACTAGAACCATAAAGTTCTGTCTGATGGTAAATTATGTATAAAACTAAGATAAAACAGAGAATTATGCTCTATCTCATATTTACTGAAAGTAGGAAAGGAGGAAGAGTGACACTTTTAAATCAAACTGCTCTAGTTTTAGCACAGTGGATGGTTAATAAACACACTGCTTTATGCTGAAGTGACCAGATAACTATTTCTACAGTTCAGAGTAACTTAAAATCAGGTTTTAAAGATCAAAGAAAGCAGACTCAAAACACCGACAAAGCAGAGAAGAAAACAATGCCCATGAGATGGTCACTATTTAGACAGTATTATAAAAAGCTAAAGAACACTTGGGCTTTACTTCACTTTGATGGTCTTGTACTAAAAACACCTTCCCCAAACTAAATTCAGAGGGGAGGAAGTTAAGAGCTTCAGGTAACTTTAAAACCAGTCTTGGGCTCAGTAAGGTAATTACTTAAAATAATCACCTCACATTTTAAAACAGATCATCTTCATCTGACTCTTCCAGGTACTTTATAGGTTTCTTTGCCCGCACAGATTTTGCCCGAGGAGCCACAGCTGAGTCAAAGTCCATATGGAAGTCATCACTCTCCCCCCTGGATTTCTAAAAGAGAAAAGCCCAGGTAACTTGCACAATGTAAATCTGACGACATAATTGTAATGTTAAAAAAATGTATCAAGACACTACATTCACGGAGTTTTCTACTTTCTACTAAGTAATAAAAAGCAGATCTAAAGCCAATTCTTCCATTGCCCAAATAAGTGACATTATTTAACTTTATTAAAACTAAATATGTACAGTAAAAGCTAACAGATAATGAGAGTTAATTTTCTTAAAGACATGCCAAATTATTAAGAGCAATGGCTTAGTTATGTGTTTCAGAACACCTACAGCAAAAGGACTGACTAGAATCAACACTCACCTTGCTTGTGACTGCTTTCGAAACAATTTTCTCAAAATTAGAGTCAGAATCATCAGAAGTGGATGGCTTCCTTTTGCGGCGAATCTTGGTTTTGGCAGGATCAGGCTTTTGAGAGATACCAGAATTCAAAGCTGGTTCCTTTTTAGTTCCTTTAGGGGCAGCCCTTTTTTTGGCACCGGTAGTGGAGGTGGAAGACTGACCTGCAATTCAATACAGGCATTTGTTACAGCCGCTCTTTTTTTGAGATGGGGTCTCACTCTATCGCCCAGGCTGGAGTGCAATGGCGTTATCTTGGCTCACTGCAACCTCTGCCTCCTAGGTTCAAGCGATTCTCCTGCCTCAGCCTCCTGAGTAGCTGGGATTACAGACACGTGCCACCACACCTGGCTAATTTTTTGTATTTTTTAGTAGAGATGGGGTTCTACCATGTTGGTCAAGCTGGTCTCAAACTCCTGACCTCAGGTGATCCACTTGCCTTGGGCTCCCAAAGTGCTGGGATTACAGGCATGAGCCACTGCGCCCGACCTAGTCACAGCCACTCTTAGATGAATTGTTCTCATTGTGAACTTTCTTCAGCAATGTGATGACTGTGTATATTTAACATAGGAAAAGACAATCTAAGAGAGGTGAAAATAGAGAATCAAAGTATTCTTAAACATTCTATTTTTTTTTTTTTTTTGAGATAGCGTCTTGCTCTATCTCGCCCAGGTTGGAATGCAGTGGCACAATCTCAGCTCACTGTAGCCTCTGCCTCCTGGGTTCAAGCGATTCTCCCGTTTCAGCCTCCTGAGTAGCTGACTACAGGCATGTGCCACCACACCTGGCTAATTTTGTATTCTTAGTAGAGACGAGGTTTCGCTATATCGGCCAGGCTAGTCTCGAAATCCTGACCTCAGGTGATCCACCCACCTTGGCCTCCCAAAGTGCTGGGATTACAGGCATGAGCCACTGCATCCAGCCTTAAACATTCAATTTTAAGAATATGTTTTACATTAAACATTTGCAATTGCTTATAAATCCTATCCTTGTCATAGAAATGAACTAGATGAAGCCTGGTACTGAGAGAAACACGCTGATTTTAAACATTTGGACTACCTTATTTTTGGAGACAGGGTCTCACTCTCTCACTCAGGCTGGAGTGCAGTGGCTTGATCATAGTTCACTGCAGCCTTGAACTCCTGGCCTCAAGAGATCCTCTTGCTTTAGCCTCCCAAAGTGCTGGGATTACAGGCATGAGCCACGCTGCCTGGCTTTTGTTTTGTTTTGTTTTTTGATTAGTCAAGTGCAGTAGGGAGAAGGAGGGAAAAGAGTAGAACAAGGAGTTTGATCTGTAACTGAATGAACAATCAGGACCAGCCTTGACTACTAATTTTGATTATAAAGATCTAAAAGAAATTGCTTCCATTTGGAAAAGGTTTAATTTGTAATAGCAACAGTAAGTTTTGGCAATAAAAAATTGAAATTGCCATGTGAAAACCAGTTAGTTAATTGCAACATTAACCCATCTCAAAGATTTAGGCTTACTTTTTGCTGCTGTCTTCTTCACTGTCACATTCTTTTTAGGAACTGGGTTTGTAATTTCAGTTTCATTTGGGAAATGTGCAGCAGGAGGGCTTGAAGACAGTGGTACACTGTCCTTAGCATCATCAGCTTCAATGTCTATCATTTCAAATGGAAAGGAAAATAGTACATTTAAGCCAACACATGAAAATCCATTTTCTGCTTTGTGCTTGGTATGAATTCCTATTTAAACACCAAATATGTGACTTTTCTGGAATATTTAAAACATGCTTTTTTAAATTTTTTGAGATGGAGTCTCGCTCTGTCACCCAGGCTGGAGTGCAGTGGCTTGATCTCGGCTCACTGCAAGCTCTGCCTCCTGGGTTCACACCATTCTCCTGCCTCAGCCTCCCGAGTAGCTAGGACTACAGGCGCCCGCCACCACACCTGGCTAATTTTTTGTATTTTTAGTAGAGACGGGGTTTCACTGTGTTAGCCAGGCTTGTCACGAACTCCTGACCTCAGGTGATCCACCCACCTCGGCCTCCCAAAGTGCTGGGATTACAGGTGTGAGCCACCGTGCCTAGCCTAAAACATACTCTTAAAACTTTGTTCTAATTTCTGAATTTTTTATCAGCAAGAACAGTTTTTATTTTTTGTATCTCTAGCACCTAGCAAAGTACCTGGCAAGCACTATGATTACTTTTAGTATACTGAATGCAGTACCTATTTACATGTGAAACTAAACCCAACGAACAGTGTCAACATAATGTTAATAAGAACTCAAATTTATTTCCAAAGGAAGTACTTGGATAATGTAGCCAGGATTAGAACCCAGTTGGATCTGAGTGTCCCAGTAAGGCAGATGTCTCACTACTTTTACTTAAATACATACCTGACATAGCACTTTTCTGAGGTTTCAGATCTTTGTTAGTAAGTCTAGAATTAAAAAAAAAAAAAAAATTCCTGACAACCAATTCTAAAGGTGTTAAGCAAAAAACAATATATTAGAAACAATCATGACAAAAACCCATATTAGATAAGATACTTACTTTGGGGAAGTTTTGGTCTTAGGTGGACTAGCATCTGATGGGACAAAATCTTCATCATCAGTTTTTTCATCAAAATCTGAGAAATCTTCATCTGAATCCAAATCCACTGTGAATTTGGTTTTTGCTAGTAAAAAAATCATATACAAAAAAATCAAAGAGGGTAGTAGGAGAAACACTTAATTCATAGGTCGATATAACATTTCATGAATATTTTAGTTTTTAATCTCCTGAAAGATGCTTCAGTGTTTCAAAGCTTTAACTTACTTTAATTTACTGCTCTATTAAGACACAGTAATTTCTGGGGCAAAGTACCCTGAAGTATATTGGCCATTCCACTCTTACAGCTTATCTATAATGTTCTTTAGTTTTCCTTACTTGCTGCTCTTCGTGGCTCTGTTTCTCGTGGAGGGACATCAAAATTACTTTCGTCACTGCTCCTATCTGATTCTGAATCAGACCAGGGATTTCTCTTCTTTCCTTTTTTGATTGGCTTAAATGACAATGTAGTTTGTTTCTTTGTCTTTGTACCTAGAGGAGAGATAGAAATCAACCACCTTTATATATTCTTAGACTCACTTTTCTCCATCTATCATCTATCTATGCTTCAAATTTATTAACCGCTGTGATAGTTCTGAGAATACAATTGTGAAAAGAAACAGATATGGTCTCTGTTTTTGTGGTGCATATAGCTTGGTCACTTAATCTTATAAATAAATATAATGTGGCCGGGCACAGTGGCTCATGCCTGTAATCCCAACACTTTGGGAGGCTGGGGCAGGAGGATGACTTGAGCCCAGGGGTTTGAGATCAGCTGGGGTAAGATACAAGACCCTGTCTTAGCTGGGTGCGGTGGCTCACACTTATAATCTCAGCACTTTGGGAGGGTGAGGTAGGTGCATCGTTTGAGCTCAGGAGCTCAAGACCAGCCTAGACAACATGGCAAAACCCCATCTCTACAAAAAATACAGACATTAGTGGGCATAGTGGAGTGTGCCTGTGGTTCTAGCCACTAGGGAGGCTGAGGTGGGAGGACTGTTTGAGCCTAGGAGGTCGAGGCTACAGTGGGCTATGATCGTGCCACTATACTGCAGCCTGGGAGACAGAGTGAGATCTTGTCTCAAAAAAAGAAAAAAAGAAAAAGAAAAAAGGACTGTCTCTACAAAATACAAAAAAATTTTAGAAATTAGCCAGTCATGGTGGTGAGCACCTATAGTCTCAGCTCCTTGGGAGGCTGAGATAGAAGGATTGCTTGAGCCAGTATTTCAAGACCAGCCTGGGCAACAGAGTGAAACCCTGTCTCAAAAAAAGTAGATACTCAAGGACAGATACATAGCTCAATCAATGGAACAGAATTGAGAGTCCATAAGTAAACCTTAACATTTATAGTCAATTGATTTTTGACAAGGGTGAAGACAAACATTGCAGAAAGAAGCCTTTTCAACATATGGTACTGAAATAATTGGATATCTACCTGCAAAGGAATCAGATTGGACACCTTCTTTACACCATATACAAAAACGAATTCAAAGTGGATCACAGACCTAAATATAAGAGCTAAAACTATAAAATGCTTAGAATAAAACACAAAAGTGTACCTTCATGCGCTTAGCAAAATGGGAGGCCGAGGTGGGCGGATTGCTTGAGGTCAGGAGCTCTAGACCAGCCTGGCCAACTTGGTGAAATCCTGTTTCTACTAAATATACAAAAATTAGCATGGTGGTGCGTGCCTGTAATCCTAGCTACTCGCGAGGCTGAGGCAGGAGAATTGCCTGAACCTAGCAGGTGGAGGTTGCAGTGAGCCGAGATCTCATTACTACTGCACGCCAGCCTGGGCGACAGAGCAAAATTCTGTCTCAAAAAAAAAAAAGAATGAAGTACTAATATATGGGCTACTACATGGGTTACCCTTGAAAATATTATGTTAAGTAAATAAGTTATCTCCAAAAGACCACATATTATATGATTCAATTTGTAGGAAATGCCCTGAATAGGAAAATCTAGAGACAGCAGATTTTTAGTAGATTTTTTAGTGGTTGCCTAGTGGGGCAAGGAGTTGGTGGCAAATGGCAAACGAATGTTAATGAGTTCAGTTTTCTTGGGGGGTGATAAATTGCACTAAAACTGTGTCTATACTAAAACCACCGAATG